CTCCACGTGGCCCTCACTGCCCCAGTGCCTTTCCCCTTACTCTGCTCTCCCTGGGGCAGGGCTGAATCCTGCAGGGGAGATGAGATGCCGCTGAGGCCCCTTGCTTGCAGGGGTGGCTTCTAGCCCGAGTGCCCTGCTGCCTGGGGGGGAGGCAGCATTTGTCCTGTGGAGAAGCAGCCCATGCAGAGGTGGTGGGTGGCTCCAAGCCTGGCCCTGGCCCACGTGGGACAGCTGGTGTCTGACTGTCTCTGCTCCTGCTCCTCTGCAGGTGAGGCCTTCCACTCCTCAGAGCATCATCAGCACTCGGACCTCACTGCTCCTCCCAACAGTCCCACGGGCCTCCCCTCCCAGCCGCCAGCGCTGATCCCCTCCAAGCAGACGCCTGCCCATTCGGGGCCCTTCGGCTCCCCGCCCCACATCCCGCTGGGCACCTCCCCACAGGCTGCACTCTTCCCTGCGCCCAGCACGCAGGTGGCAGCCCCAAAGTCAGCATCCGAGTCCCCTCCCACTGGTGCGGTCTCACACAGCCCAGGGTCGTGTAAGAGCCCTCACCTGCCCCCTGCCAATGTGCCGCTGCTGAAGATGCCGCCTCCACTCTCGGGCTGCACTCATCCCTGCAATGGGCACTGCAGTACTTCGCTCATCCCTCCTCCCGCCTCCCACCAGCTGCCCAGCACGAACAGGTGAGTAGAGGAGCCCTGCCTGCTTCCAGCCTGTCCTCGCTGGGCAACGCACCCTTTCTCCCACCCCTGCCCGTGGATGTGCTTTTCCCTGCGGAGGGACCGGCTGCCCTGGCGTGGTGGTGCAGAGAGCCGCTGTGTTTGTGGGCCAGTTCCGCTGCTGCAGACCCCTGGTCTCTGAGGGTTGAGCTCTTTTTCTCCCCACGTGTCTTCTCCCTGCGGTTGTCCTTTAGTACTGTGGTGCAGAAGAGACTGTGCTTGCTCCTCCTCCAGCTAAAAGACCCAAAGGAACCACCCGGTCAACCTGCTGTTGGCCAACAGGACCTTTGTCAGTGAGACCCGTCGGGCAGCTGTGGCACTGAGCAAAGGTCCTCGAGAAGATGAAGCCTGTGGACTTGTTCTGCTCGCCTGCTCCCCTGGCCCTCTCTGGGCTGCCTGTGCCCTGGAAGAGAGCACGCTGAGTCGCGGGTGCTGGTTCCTCTCCGCTGATTAGCGCTCCCTGCGGAGGGCCAGCCAGGTCCCGAGCTGGAGCTCGAGGAATGGCGCTGTGGGCCGTGCCCTGGCCTCCCTGTCTCTGAGCTGGGTAGTCTGTGCCTGTGGGAGCCGGGCCTGCCTGCACGTGGGGATGTCTGGCAGCTGCATGCAGTTCCAGCGTTTCTCACCTGTGCTACCTGCTGCCCCCAGTGAGTACCGCTCCCTGTCCTGGAATCAGCTTGTGGCCTGGCAGAGGGACACTGCTTTCTGGAGCTCTGGTGCGCCAGCCTCCTGCCTGCCAGAGGCCCTGGGGGGCGAGGAGCTACAGATGTCTTCTGCTGTGGGCTCCTCTGGCATCTCCCCCAGAGGAGGAGGATGCAGGGGAGGGGGTTTGTCTGCCCTGCAAATCCTTCTGCTCGGGCACAGGCTGCCCTGGGAGGGGTGTTCCTACACATGTAGTGTGGGGCAATTTTTGAGACCCCCTGGCTCCCGCTCACCTCTGGCGCTTCTCCCCTTCTCCTCAGGGATCCCTCTTGCAAAGGGCACAAATTCCCAAACGGTACCAGCTGCCACCCGCCGCAGCCATGCGAGGCAGACGAGGGGCTCGGGGAGGACGAGGACAGCAGCTCGGAGCGCAGTTCCTGCACCTCCTCCTCCACCAACCAGAAAGACGGGAAGTTCTGCGACTGCTGCTACTGTGAGTTCTTCGGCCACAACGCGGTGAGTGAGGGGCTGGTCTGCAGCCACCCCTGGTCCTTGCGCTCTGCTCTGCGGTGAGACGTTACATGGTCCGTGTGCTGAGAGTGCGGAGGTGGGCAGGTCTGGCCACGGCTGTTTCTCCATGGGTGTGTGCATCCCCCACTTTGTTTCCAACCTGCCTCATTAGCCTGCTGGTCCCTTTGCTCCCGACTCACAGCTGCCTGCCCAGCCCTGGGGCTTGGTGCAGCCAAGCCAAACCCTGTGGCTTTGTGGTGGAAGACTTCAGCAGGGGCTGTGCCGACTCGTCTTACTGAGATCTCGGGGGAGGGAGCGGTTGGGGAGGTCGGCGGGGGACTGGTGTGGGAGCCAGGGCTGCCTGCGCGTCACGCTGGCTTCGAGCGCCTGCCCGGCTGACAGTGCTTGCTTCCTGCAGCCCCCGGCCGCTCCCACGAGCCGCAACTACGCTGAGATCCGGGAGAAGCTGCGTTCGCGCCTCACCAAGAGGAAAGAGGAGCTGCCGCAGAAACTAGGGCACAACAGCAGCTCAGGAGAGCCCGCTGTGGACCACCGCAACGTGGACGAGCTGCTGGACTACATCAACAGTACAGAGCCCAAGCCCTTGAACAGTGCCAAGGCAGCCAAGCGGGCGCGACACAAGCAGAAGAAGAAGGTGAGGCTGGGCAGAGGGAAGCGCTGCCTGGGGCAGTCTGCAGGAGGGTGGTCAGGACAAGACTGTGCCCCTTGAAGGGCTTTGCCTTCTCTCCGTCATGTCTATTTGGTTTCTTGAGCTCCGTGTCCTTTGCTGCCCTCTCACCTGAGGTGACAGCAATGCCTGTCTCTGTGCAGGGCTTCCCCTTCCTCTGTTCCTGCAAAGGGTGGCCCAGCCCTCCTGGGCGCTTTGGGCTGCGCTGTCCTATCTGCTCCGTACCGTGTCTCTGACAAACGCCATGCATTTGTGGTGGGGAGAGGCAGTGCCGTGATGGCTCATGCTGGTGCCTTGTGCCCAGAGCAGTGTCTGGTGTGCAGCGTGGTAGCTGTTGCAGTGCCTGTGGAGGACATGGGGTGTCCGTGCTGAGCGCCAGCCCTTGGGTTTGCTGCCTGACAAAGCTGGTGCAAGGCTAGCTGCGTGGCCTGTGCCTGTGACTCTGTGGCCCAGGCCACCTGATCCTCATGGCACCTGTGTTGCAGGAGAAGGAGAAAGCCCAGCTGGAGGCAGAGGCCCAGAAGCGGGCAGAGCGCACCCCTGCAGCCAGCCAGGCCAGGGAGCCGGCTGAGGAGAAGCTGCTGGAGTGGCCGGAGCTGGAGCTGGAGCGGGTGAACAGCTTCCTCAGCAGCCGGCTGCAGGAGATCAAGAACACCATCAAGGACTCCATCCGGGCCAGCTTCAGCGTCTACGACCTCAACCTGGACGTCAATGACTTCCCCAAGAAGGCAGCTGTCCTGGAGCAGAAGAACCTGCTCTCCCACCTCAATGGCTCCTCTGACCTGCAGGACATAGACCTGGCTCTGGCCCCGCTCAGCCTAGGCCCCGCCAAGAACCACGCACTGCTGCGGAGTGAGCTGGGCCCCCGATGGGGCGAGGGGCCTGGGGAGCCGCCACCAGCCCCGGCGGCCGAGAACGGTGTGGTGAAGCGCCTCAGCGCTGTGCCCAGCCTCTCCCGCATGATCTGGGTGCAGTCCAAGGCTGCGGACTCTGCTGCAGACGGCAGCGGGCTGAGCCCGGAGCCCAAGGAGGGACCGCAGGCCAAGGGGCCAGAGCCACTGGAGCCGGTGCCCGCGGGGAGCCGGCAACGGAAGAACAAGCGGCAGAGCGGGCAGGCGAAGAAAGGGGAGGGCGCTGCCGCAGGACCCGGTGGCCAGGCCCGGCTGGAGAGCCCTGGTGTGAAGGGGCAGGTGCTGGGAACCAAGCACCCTTCTAAAGCCGGCGCCCCGGAGCCGCAGCGGGCGGCCGGCTGTGCCGAGCTGGGGGAGAGCGGGAAGGGGCAGCCCTGGGGCTGCAGCGGTGGCGGCAGGCTGGAGAAGGAGAGAATCGGCGAGTGGAAAGGCCGGAGGGGAGAGGGCAAAGTGGAGCTGCCGGAGCCAGCGCAGCCGCAGCAGCAGCCGCCTGCCGTGGCTGCAGGGGACCGGCAGCTGCCTGCCCCCCCTGCCCTGGGGGGCTCACCCCAGCCCAAGGGCAAGAGCAGGAAGAGCCGGAACAAGGTGGAGAAATCCAGTACCTCGATCGGTGAGTGCTGGGAGTGCCGCTCTATGCCGCCATCTTTGCGGTGGCCCCTTCCTCCCCTCCGCCCTGCCAGCCCCCTGCCCGTCCGGCAGTGCTGACCCTCTCCCTGCCCCTCTGCTTTGCCAGATGACGTGTTCCTGCCCAAGGACCTGGACGGGGCAGAGATGGACGAGACTGACAGAGAAGTGGAGTATTTCAAGAGGTGAGGAGGGGGCAGCCCCGGGGGGGGCCAAGCCCAGCCCGGGGAGGGGGCAGGTGGGCAGAGGGGCTGGTGGCCGACCGGGGCTCTCCTCTCCCTGCCAGGTTCTGCCTGGACTCGGCCAAGCAGACGCGGCAGAAGGTGGCGGTGAACTGGACCAACTTCACCCTGAAGAAAACCACTTCCAGCGCAGCCCAGTGAGGTGCGGGGGGGTGGGCTGCCCCCCACCCACCCGCCGCTCGCCTCTCCTCACTGTGCCCCCCGCCCCGCCCCGCGGGCCCCCGCCTCGCCTCGGTGGGGTCCCCTCCTCTGCGGGGGGGGCCCCGGTGCTCTCCTGCCCCGCGGGGACCCCCGGGGCTCCCCCCATCTTCCTCCTG